ACATGTATAATATAAAGACTATGATAGACAGTGATCTATACTACTATACAATGATAAAATCTTCAGTTGTAAGATATCATAATCTTCAGTGTATTTCTCTATCAAAACTCTGACTTCTCATAGAATTTAATAGTTCAAAAGACATTTGTACCTGTTACATAATGAAGCTGACTATAGATGTAGAAGGACATCAATGTGAAGATGCCTACATATATAAAGTTGATAATCTTGATTATAATCTTATATTAGAACTTGTCTGACTATCTGAACAAGACATCTTGTTAAATACTCAAAATAGAAGCTTGATATTCTCTAACAATGATAGAGTTCATGAAGATGATATTCACAAGATCATGAATCTGACACAGATCTCTGTCAACACATATAAAATACTTTGAAAAAGAAGTCATTATCAAAATCACTGACAGAGTCACTGATAGTAAGATCATGTATCAATCTATTCTATCAGTCTGATCAATATCAAAAAGACTCTAGAAAAGTTATTCTGTGTTATAATAACAGATTCTCATACAAAACTCTCTCAATAATATCATGAATATCTAGATGTCTTCTGACAAGACAATATTATAAATATACTTCTCTTACAAGATTCTGAAGTGAATCACAGTATCAAGTTAGAGAAAAAGAATGATAAGAACTCTGAACTGTCATAAAGCTCTCTTTATAATATATTTTAAGATAAACTCCTTCTTCTTTGAAAGACACTTAATAATCTATTGAATAAAGAATTCATATATATTAGTAACTTCTTCACTGCAGCCTCTATTCTCTTTGTAAAGAAATCAGATGAAGAACTTCAATTCTGCATGAACTACTGAGATCTGAACAGATTGATAAAGAAAGATTGATATTTCTTATCTCTCATTAATGAAATTCTAGCACAGATCAGATGAGCTTAATAGTTTATAAAACTAGATATTATTACTGCATTTCATAAGATTTGTATCACTGAAGAAGATGAATAACTTACAGCATTCTGAACATGTTATGATCTCTTTGAATGAATAGTCACACTCTTTGAACTGGCTAATGCTCTCAGTATATTTCAGAAGTATATCAACTGAGTATTTCAAGACTTTCTTAATAAGTTTGTATCTGCTTATCTAGATAACATTCTCATCTTCATCAATGAATTCAGAAAAGAATATCAGAAACATGTACAAAAGATACTATAACAGCTATAAGAAGCAGAACTACTGATAGATATTGATAAGTATGATTTTGAAGTCAAGAGTATCAAGTATCTGAGTTTTATTATAGAAGCTGATAAAGAAATTCAAATGAATTCTGAGAAAGTCTTCATCATTCTTGAATGAGAAGCTTCATATACTGTGAAAGATGTATAAAGCTTCATTAGATTTACTAACTTCTATTAATGATTTATATGAAACTTCTCAGATATTATGAGATCACTTACAGATCTCACTAAGAAAGACTCAGTATTTCAATGATTAGTGAACACTGAAGCTGCATTTATACAGATGAAGAAGATGTTTATCAATATCTCTCTACTAATAATATTTGATTCTGATTGTAAGACAGTTGTTGAAGCTGATTTCTCTGACTATGTAATAGAAGAAGTGATATTATAATATAATGATAAAGATGTTCTATAATCATATATCTTCATATCTAAGAAACTGAGTCTCACTGAATACAATTATGAGATCTATGATAAGAAACTTCTCATAATTATATACTATTTAGAAGAATGAGACTCTGAACTCTGAAGTATCTCTGAATTTGAGATAATCACAGATTATAAGAATCTCAAATACTTTATAACTACTTATAAACTTATCAAATAATAGATGTAATGATCTGAGTTTCTAAGCTGCTTTCATTTTATAATACACTATCATTCTGACAGTCAGAACTTGATGACAGATGCTCTCTTATAACAAGAGTAAGATATATCATCTAATGTAATAGATACTCACTGAATGAACTGAGAGCACTGACTCTTAAATCTGAAGATATTAATTAATCAAGATAGAACAGCTCACAGCACTATATATACTTCTCTGATTAGAACTGACATCAATATCTTCACTTTCTCTACACTGAATGAACTATGACATATAGTAGCTCAGACTGATAAACTTCTTCAGACTCTCACTGAAGCAGTATATCAAGAAGCACTCTGATTTCTCTCAGAACTATGTATTAGAACTGATATCTCAGAATACTTAATTAATGATAATAACACTCTATAATTCTATAAATAATGCTGAGTTTCTCACTCTGAACTCTTACACACTCAGATAATACAAGAGATGCATAATTTATATATAACTGATTATTCAGACTGTGAGTAACTGTATAGAATAATCTTCTAAGAATTCTACTGATCTGAGATATTAAACAGTATCAGATGCTTTATTTGAAACTGTAATTACTGTTCTTCTATTATCTTATGAAAGAACTATAGAAAAGGTCTACTGAAATCACTTGATATCTCTGATAGAATCTGATAAGATATAGTAATTAACTTCACTATTAATCTATCTGAGAGTAAGAGCTGCAGAAATATTCTGATTATTATTGACTGACTGAGTAAGAATATAATATTGAAATCTTGTAATAAGATAGATACTGAATAAGTTATTAAAGTCTTCTTACAGAGTTCATTCTATCAGATGTATAAATTACTGAGATTAATAGTATTGAATCAGAACTACTAATTTATGAGCACTCTCTGAACAAGAATCTGTTAAGTTCTTAAGATTATATACTATCTATTAACTGTCTATCACTCTGAGACTGATAATATATCAGAATAGATAATTCAGACTATAAAGAATTATCTTCATAAGTTCTGTAATTACTTATAAGATAATTGATATGATCTTCTTTTACATACAGAGATTACTATCAACAGTTAAGATGTCATTTTAATAGATATAAGTCTGTTCTTTCTTATATACAGATATTACATGAAAGTGTTGAATCTTCTAGAGATTACACAGTTCATACTGAATCTTCACAGTCTGATTCAGATTACTGATAATATAGTAATAAAGCTCTGAGATATCTGTGACTGAGTAGAGATTTTCATGACAACTGTGAAACAAGACTAAGAAGATTAAATCAATATCTGATGAGATCTCACAGAGCAGTATAAGATAGAAGACCTTGTATAATTAAATCTCAAGAATATATAAATCACATATTTATCTTGTACACTAGACTACTGCTATATCAGGTATAAAGTGATAGAAGTTCTAGATAGTCACAACTATCATCTTGACACATTATCAGAGATTTATAATGTATTTCACACAAGCTTGCTCTGTTATACTATCACTGATCTGTTCTCTTCTCAGCTGACTTCTGACTGACAGCTGTCAGACATCATAGAAGAAGATAATGAGCTTGAGTGAGAGATTGAAGACATTCTCAATGAGAGATTCTGCAGCTGTAGCTGATAATATCTGATGAAATGAGTTAGCTACAATCAACTGACCTGGACTCTGAGTTCTGTGTTATTCAAAACAGCAGTCCTTGACTGATGAAAACTGCTTCTGAAAAGAGGGGGCTAATGTGGCGGGCTGCACCTGATCAATTATATAGACTATTCCATTACACTTCATAGATTCTTCCATTCCCAATCGCCGATCTGCGGCCGCTACGAACGCGTATGCTCCAATCCTCAGTCATTCCTGATCACTGATCCGCGGCCGCTACAAACATACACTCCAATTCTCAGCCATTCCCAATCACTGATCCTCGGCTGCTATGAACACGCGTATATTCTTCTGCCCCGAAGCTCCACCATGTACACCATCACATACATATATAAATATCCATCTCAATCACTGATTCTCGCACTTTCTCTTCTTTCCTTCTCTAATGTTTTTATCTTTGTTATATAAGACCTATCAATATTATACTGATCTATTCGGCGTAGACCTCTTACAATAATAATAAATGTGAATATGAGATAAAAGAATCAGTTTATTATATTCTAGTAAACTATCTGAGACTGCAGTAATAATATTAAGTTCTGTGATAAAAGATTAAGAATAGATTCAATAATATCTCTCTAATACTAGAGAGTAAATCATCAAACTGAATAATAAATGAGACAGAATGAAAAATCAGTAGAAAAGATCTCAATGCAATTCTAGACTTCACTGAAAGCTTAGAAAGATTTCAAGACAGAGATAACTAGAGTAGATCACTCACAGGCTCTGACAAGACATTAAGATTGTGCATGTAATTAGACTTGAAAGAATAGATGAGAGTAGCTGTAATAGTGGTAGCCTGCATATTCTGATAAGGGAGAGGTCAGGGTAGCTGATTCAATTAATCAAATCAATCAATCAAGGTTGCGAAACCGTATCAATACCGTATCAATACTGTTGCTTCCCACTTAAAAGGCCTTGAAAGGGTGTTAAGTTATTCTTTTTCTTCCCTTTGTTCTCTTTGTTCTCTTTGTTTGATTTCTTCATTTCATTTCACTTTACTATTTCTTCATCATCACTACAACTATTACAATACAGATCGTCTTCCACGCTTCCTGTTGATATGCATCTAGAAATAGGATTTACAGAAGTAACTAACTTTCATAGACTATTGAACTGTTCAACGCGGAAAACGCAAAAGTACAGACAATCAAACATTGCACTGGACGGAGAATGCAATTCATAAGATTCAGCGTTAGTTGTCACTAGATACAACCACACGTCCGAAATCATTTTACAAATAAGGCTGAGACAGCCAGTACGTGCTTCTGTGGTCATGGTATCCTAATTGTACATGGTCTCGAGAGGCCGCGTATGATTGAATGCACGAGCGAATTCCTCGTTTGATGCCGCGGCCATATTCGCCACTCAAAATCCGGAATTTCTAATTCCGAATGCCCAATTTCTTCATTGGTGCAAAGCAAAGATAGTTCTATTTTTGGGTAACTAATTTTCCTTTTGATTTATTAGACTTTCCAAAAAGAAAACAAAAGACGCATGTATGACAGAAAATCAAATCGTCTTGGGGTGGAAATCCCGTATGTGCTGTGTCACGGCATCGTTGCGAGAAAAGGTCTTTTCCTCTGTACATAGGCGGCACCGCAGCTTTTGCTTGAGGGTGTTGTGGATTGTATCTTCGTGCCTTATAAGATTGTAATGACGAGAAAAGACGGAGTTGCAAGGCTTGCTAGAAGGATTGATTTCGCAGCGGCGGGGTTCTGCGGATTTTTCACCTACTTTTGTCAGTTAATCATACTCACCATGTCAATGCTGTTTAGAACACTGTGCTTACGGTAGTTTCATTGAAAAATTCAGTTTTGTATGCGCCACGGTTGAAGCCCGTTAGGGAAGTCGCGATGATAGATGTCCTTCGTCAGGCCATTGTACGGCTCGATGCTTCATACGCGTCATCCGCATCTGAAGACAAGACGCTGAATAGTTTGTTCCAAATTGAGTGTTTACTACCTTCACAACTTCTCTCCAACATAAATTCCGTTCTGTGCTCAATAATTGAACAAGATCGTTTTCGCGGTCCATCTGTGATGATCTTGACCTTCGCCCCGAATTTCTTCGCGCCGACCCGGATCGGCGGCGCTGTGAGACTTCTACCCCTTGACTTCTTTTTCTGACACGCTGCATTTTAAGAAGCGCAGCAGGGTTTGGCGCAATATTCACATGGCATTTTCCAGAATCGGGTCGCATAACTACAGTTCTAGGTTGCGTGGCGCCAGTGAGAGGTCTTGAGCCAAACCCTCCCCCCTTTGATTCCGTTGGAAAATGACTATCCGGTGTATCGGGATGAGGAAGGTCATAAGTGAAGATACTAGGTTGCACGTAGTTTGTGGTAGTCGGTCCACTTATCCCAAGTCCATGTGTTGGGGATTCAATAATATCATGATATTGGAAATCATGATTGCTCTGTGACGGGTTCTGTCTTGGCTCAAGAAAAGGTGTGGCGCAGAGACTAATTGGCGTCGGCATGGACCAATTTGTATGCGCTGTACCACTGTATGATATCTGCTTTTCAACCTCATCCTCATGAGCATCAGTACGCTCCTCAGTATTAATGATATTTTGCTCTTCAACTTCAACCTGGTCCGAATATCGTGGATATTGAGGAACGTAGTGGGGTTTGAAAGCAAGTGAAAGAGATGCAGACAATTGCCTCGATTGATCAGAGATTATGCTGGCTCGCTGCTCGCCTTGATATGACAAGATGTTGCTTGATACTAAATCGTTTCTATCCCGCACTTCGAAACAGCTAATAAACCTGTCAGTAATCTCGTATAGTTGGGTTGGTATACTATTCCATATACCCGTCAAACCGAGTGACATCTGGAAATCCCCAAAGATCCACTGGTTTCAGTGTTCTTGAGTTGCTTGACTGCTCTTCAATCCACTAATGCTCATGGCTGAGCGGCAAATTCTGTTGTGCTTTTGCATTCATCTCGTGTGATATAATGAGGGGCTGAGTTCGAGAGGCTTCTGGGAAAGACCAGACAGTGAAGTATATCAAAATACAGATCAAGACAGGGTCACTCCTATCCCTTTATGCTTGCGGACAACCAGCCAAAACCAGTAAAATGATGAAAATATGAGCAGGACCTGCCAAGCGGAGTAGCCGTTTTTGACAGCCCACCTCTTGATTGTTTCCGGGCGCCGGTACCAAAATCGCGCATGCATGTAACAAGGCGCGTAACAAGGCAAACGGTTCATATGGCCCTTCCCTTTGCATAAGGACAAGCAAGCGAAAACCATCTCCTGTCGGGATATGGACCCGTACAAGCCACCAGTTGCAATGGGAGCCCATCCCCAGATTCTAGCGGTGTATCGTTTCCCGGGTCGACGTAAGGCGCAAACAAGGCAACGAGCGGGCGGACAAGATGCATCAATCAGGAAAACACAGCCGCCATTAGATCACAATCTCCGTCACCCCAGTCTGATGATCCAGTGAAGGCAAACAGGCGCTGATGATGTCCTGGGCTGCTGGATGACAGGGCTTCGGATTTCTGTTGGCAAAATGTTAGGCCGGCCGAGAAAGTGATAAAATACATTAGCCAACGCCAAACATCACAGCCACATCAGCAATACCCCAATCCAAGGAGTCAAAACCATTCCAAATGTCATCAGACACCTTTGAGATGGCCATCAGTAAGAAACAATGTCACAGTTAGATTGTCATCCAGGGCGAAACCCAAAACAGTGCTCCGTCTCCAAAAATTCTCCCGGCCAGAATGTCAAGGCCGGACGCTTGTGGAGCACCTCTCATTGATATAGAAGTGATGCACAACTTACGCGCCCTCGACTGGTATAACCTTGTCATTATTTTAAGCTTAAAGTACGTGTAGCCATTGTGTAACCGCTAGCTTTATAAGTCAGGAGGATAGTCCAGAGTGCAGTAACAATCGGCTCGCGCCCCAAGAACAGACCATATGCAGTAAGGCAGTTATTGAGGCCCGTACAAGCCATCACTTGCAATGGGAGCCCTTAATTCCAGCTGTGTATAGCTGAGGTTTTCAACAGCATCCGGAATTTCCAATTTTCCGGGATGCACTATTTCTTATTGGCGCAAGCAAGGATGTCTATTTTGGGGTAACCAATCTTTTTCTTCAGTTTAACAAAATTATCAACCAGGAACAAACGACGCAATGGATGACAGAAAATCAAACAAAGCCCCTACATCAGATAGCGACGAGTAAACAACATGAAATAAGGAATTCGGAACTACGAGCGCTCAGGCTTGTATATCAATCAGCATCCTGCAACCCATGTTACAACCAGTGACGGAACCTCTTTCGCTTCCCATTTTCACTATCGGTTTCAACTATCCTCTATTCCATGTTTTCAGAATCGCCACATAACCGCAACTCCAGGCTTCACGCCATCCTCGGTATTGAAGTTTTAGTTTCACTCCACAATTCTTACACGCGCTGTCCAACAAGTAGGCTCTGTCTTCCCAATATTCGGCGTATGAATGAATGGATACCAGCTTTAACTCTGCTGAAGCTGCGGTGATATAATCTATCAGCAATTGGGGCAAGGTGTCTTCGTTCGCTTCATCGTTCGCCTCTTTCACGTAAAGACATTCCAATGCGGGAGGCAGATGATTGATTAGTGGCGATTGACGTGATACTAGGGATTCCGCCGGCACTTTGAGCGTGGTGAGGGTTGGCAGCGTGGCAAAGTTAAAGGTGGCTAGATGCACCTCGCCATGAAGGTGGTTAAGGCAAAATGACCTAAGGCTGCCCAATTGAGATAGCAAGCGTGCGACGCTTTCATCCGCCGATGGGCTGGTCTCCCATCCCGCCGTTTTCACCAATTCGTTCATTTCGTCCACCTGTCTGGTATCATCTTTTCTCAGATCACCGATCTCGATCGTTTTGATATGTCCAGCCAGGGTTGAATCTTTATTGATCATTGCCGACAATTTCAACACATGCAAATATGCCTTCTTGGAGGCGTCCAAGTTTACTGTCTCATAAAGACATGGCTCGATCGAGTGGAGGAAGGATTTGCAGGTACGGACTAGATGTGCGATGTCTTTCGTGTTCAGGTGGCCCGCAATCTGCCGTTTCAGTTCAACGGGTAGTGTGGTGATATTTGCCTTCACGTCTATGAACTCACTATCGGGGACACTCGGACGAGACATCATGTCACCCATTCCAATCAAGAAGTATCCCTAACATATTCCGATTAGTACTTCCATTTATCTGGAGTCGATAGAGCTTCTTGGCCTTACCCTGTGTGGAAAATTGACCTGGCTTTGGAACGGAGGCTGAGGTCTGTTCCTCAACTCTGTTAATGCAACAGCAGCGATCCTCTCTCCCTCATCTGGAGAATTCAACAGAGATCGGACATCCATTCTCAACAACTCGCCACCCGGCAAAGAATAGCGTGTCTGACCGGCAGATAGAGCTGGTTCGCTGAGGCAGGGTCAAAAACGGTTCGTGTGCTGAAGTGCACTGGCTCTTGTTAAAACCTGATTTCTTTGTCGCCGAAGAAATATTTTGACCAACTGGACAGATAACCACACCGCGGCTATTACAACTGTCCAGAAGGCCACACCTAGCAAGATTAAAGGAAGGGTAAAAACTAGAAATAAGCTTAAAATCCTTTTGGAACGGGAGCCGAGGAGATGGTTGAGATTGCTCATTTGTTTCAGATTCTGTGATTCCATGCCAGCTAGCATTGTGTATGCACAGAATAAGAGATGAGGGAAGGGTGGGTGCAAGGCCTCTCTTTATGGAGTCTAGCAAGAGACACAACAAGGTCCAGAGTGCAAGCCAGCCTTACCGGGGAGCTCAGACTGGGCCCCTGGAATTTGTTAGCACGGAACAAACGGTTCGGATCTTCGCTTCGCCCAACCCAACTGGGGATCAATATGTGCATGGCCATCCATACCCAATAAGCCACGAAGGTACAGGAGGGTTGACGGCATTTGCTTATGTACGGTATGACACCATTCATTTCATTCTCCAGCAGCATTTCCACCAAGCAACGACCTAATCGCTCTGGGTGTGTTGCTTGGAGATTTGTGATCGTTTTGGATGAGTTGAGATTTTTATTGATAAACACATTAATATGCACTATGGAACAGGTCTTCCTCCAACAGGTCTGCCTCCAGTTGCTCCTTCCTTTCTTCACAAACAACTTGTAAATCAAGCATCTTTTCCTTTAGGTTCTCTACCCCTTGACGAAGCTTAGCATCTTGCAATTGATGACATAATGAGCACGTATACATGATCTGCTGTATATGTCCATAGTCTTCCCAGAGAGCGGTTATATGCCATCTAAGCCCATCCGATTTCCCTGTTGCTACATCCATACCCAAAGCGCACGACGTAAAACCGGGCAGCCTTTCAAACAACGAAGAAAGCTTGCGGAATGCTATGGAAAATTCTTTCAGATATTTTCGTATATCACCAATTGTCTCGGCGTCGCTAAGGTGTCGAAGAGGTTCTTCCAAGGTGGCTTCAATATCCCATCTCGTTTGGAGTAACGCGCGATAGAGATCATCCAGGTCGGTATTATTTTGTTCAATATCCTGTCTCGCTTGGGGTAACGCGCTATCAAGAGATTCCTGAATAAGATAAGTATTAAAGAACAACAAACTTGCGGAAGGGCTTAACTTACCATGATGGAAAGGCAACTTGAAGCTGATGATATGCTATGCTCTTTGTGGAAGCCTTGGTACTCTTCTTCGTGGCCCTGTGAGGCTCCCGTGGATAACGTATTGTATTTTGCTAGATGAGTGTGGACGAACATGGCTATTCTTATAGCTGCTCGGAGCCTCACAATTAGATGATTGACTAAAAGGTGCATGGCGAGCGTTGGTCATCGAAACAAGCAAGAGGAAAACATTTAGTTCGAGTTGATACTTATTGCAGGGGCTACATCAGGGTTTGCAAGAAGCAGTTATGGGATCAGTGCATGCTTTTTAGCAGCCCACTTGTCAATTCCTGGTCAACAATGAGGCGTTTGTGCCAATACTGCGCATGGATCCTGGCAGGGGCACACTTGTAGGCGAAAAGAATTGCTGCTTCAATGAGTGAAGAATAATGGTTAGCAAGACAGCAGATAGGAAGATTGGATGGGTAGTTCTGAGGGCACAATTAGCGCCTGTCCTTCTGCCACTGAACTTGTGATTGGCTAAAAAGGCGGCGAGGACAGCTAATTGTGCCTCGCCTCCAGACAAGGACAGTAGTAGCTACCCGACCTCCCTGTAGTAGAACGGCCGAGGAAGTGGTAAAGAGCAGGTGAGCAGCAGACTTAACTCATTGCAAAATATATGTTCTACATCTTGAAGTATTGTCACTGGCTTGAAAGCGATAGGGTCAAATTCTCAAGGAGCTTTTTATTAAAGACGCTCCGTGTATCCCGTCGGAAAAATTGTTGATCCGAGAGCCCTCGAAAATATACTCAAAGCAAGTTGAATTAAGTTTCTACCACACTAGATACCATCTAAGTAACGGAAGCATGCTGGGCAATACTCATGCCCACATACGCATCTGAGCCAGTTCCTTCGCAGATTAACCCAGGTCTCCCGTTTTGTTGCCTCTCTCCAGTTTCTGCTTCAGTTTAGAGTCAGGCAACATACAGAGCGCATCCCCATCACTGTCGATAGCTTGGCTAAGACAGATCGCCGGGACTGTGCTTGTTTGGAGGTTTGTCTGAGCATCATGACAGCTATTCACTTGGTTCGGTTCGTGTGATGGGTCAACAGATCTTTCCCTACGCAGTCTCCTTTCGTGCAAGCACTCCGGACACGATGCACATGAATGGCCACATCGTCAACATTCCCCCCCACCGCTAACATCCTTCTCACATCTGCAGCAGTAGAGTCTCAGACGTTGGCGAACTGTTTTTTGAACATATCCTTCCTTGGTTTGGGTTTTTCCCCGTATTTTGTTTAATAGATCATGGGCCGTGGTTTGGTCGTCATCTTGATCCTGAGATCTGTCGGTTCTTTTATTGGGTTCTGCATTTTCTCGCATCGCTTGGGTGCTTGCTCTTTTCCGTAATTGCAGGTCCGAGGTCAAATCCATCTCTGAAATGGTGTTAGCTACACAATGAAAAGAACATTCTAAGAGAACCATATACCTCTAAAAACCAGAATCACTTTGCTTGCTGCCGTGCCTAAAGTAACTGTTTGTGTACTCAACTGTACCTTCGCCAGACCATGCAAGCAAGCGAAGATTATCGTATTAGCTCTGGAGAAATTGTGCTTGAGTCTTTAGCTTTAATATCCTTCTGGTGTGATAAGCCTGTCAAACAGGATACTTACGGGTTCGCCTATTTTGTGAAGTAGAAGCATCCAGCCGACAAGTTTCCCAGTATGCCTTTCCACAGCAAGGATGAAGGCAAGAATGGAAATGAAACTCGGAAGCTAGGTCAATTAGTATTGTTATGGTATTTTATTTAGACGGACTAAATCTATTCAACGTGAGGCAAATAAAAACACACTGGGAGATGGTGAAAGGGGAACTAAGAAACTATATTGGCGTCCATGGATCAGTGCACGTACCCTAGCCGGTACGATTGAAGCGCAGCTTCCCCGTCGCTACAAGCAGTCAATTCATTATATCGCAGGTCCCGCCGATAGTCCCCCTCAGACCCCTCGCATAATACAGTAAATATGCCCGTCTCCAAGGTCGGCTGGTCCGGATAGTAAATTGAGACCACCGCCCTAATTTTCTGGAAATTACTGTTAGACCACCACAGCAGAAACAGGGGAGGTTGACGTACCGGATGTGCTGATCCATGGCGAGCCGTCCGAACCTCGTCTAGTTGTGTATAGCTTTCCTTGGTCATTGATGTGGCCCCGGTGCCAAAACCCATTACGCTCTTTATCACCATGGCCCTATCGCGGCTTAGAATGAAAGGGAGGCGAGCAGAACGATTTTCTTGGTGGGGGCTGAGCTGGCCTAGATTGGATGTGTCGTCTGGGGAGTTCGGTAACGGCACTGTGTTCCCCGGTTCGCCAGACCGAGTGGAAATATTTCGAGCCATATAGGCACCAATAGTGATGATCAACATCGCCTGGAGCCATGTTAGCACATGTTGGAGCGAGATCCATGGTTTCACTGAACTTACTTCAATCCAGAGGGGCCAGTCGTGGACGAGTCCGCCTGCGGCAAACCCTGCCGTTACGATAACAAGAAATGCATGGATTGTAACTTCACAGATTACAGGGCCCTGAGATGGTATACCGCGAATTCCGCGCCAAAAAAGCAGACCGGCAATCACAAGTACCGTGTAGTCGATAGACACGACCACAGCTGTACCTTTCACCGACGCCTCGTAGGCGACCGAGCTAACTCAATCAATGAGCACAAGGCCTATCAAGACCGGGGAGAAGAGCACACCATAAGATCAACCCGAGCTTTACCGTCGGGGACAGAAAACCATATCCTAGAAATAATCGATGCAGCAGGGCGTTCATGAGAGGTCCAGCCTGGATTTTGGTCTGCCGAATCATCTAGACATCGCGGTTAGTGAGAACCAAAGCAGAGAACTGGGAATAACGTACCTCAAGGGCTAGCGGGAATGCTGTACATATTCCCAAGGGATAGTAGAATGCTGGCGTATCTGAAACAAGCATTTAGCATTTATCATCATCTTCAGTAGAGGGACTGCTCACCCCCGCGCCTTAAGCCTGATAGACCAATGCCAATGACAACAGCATTGACGCAGATAAAGAGAATGAAGATTGATGTCTCAGACAAACGGTCAGGCTGGGGGCGGTGAATGGTAAGCAGGATGAGATGCACCGCACTTAACACGATGAGCGCCGCCGACAGAAGCGCATATGAGATGTTAGGATACATTTTGCACAAAAAGGCAGCCAAATTGGTCCATTTTGAAATGATCCGTCGCGGAGCGATGTGATGTGGTTTATACCTCTTGAGCAGCCACTCCTTGTGCACCTCGAATGGGGCTTCTTCGATGGCCGAGGGGGTATGCCCGTCTTCATTTCAGCAAGTGTTGGACGACAAAAACTTGTCAAGGGTCAGGTACAGACACTATTGTTGTTAATCCCTTGTAGTCAGAGTTATTGCAACCCGCTGCGCTTTACATACTCTTCAGCAACCATCTTTCCCGACGCATCCCGCACGTACATCAATAGCATAGATAACCCTGGGTGATGGTACACGAGCAGCATTGGCCACGCTGTGATAGTCGATAATGCTGTCTTCATTAGGCAAATGGCGAGCCAAAGGGCTAAATTTCGAGCGCCACCCTTGTCGGGATTTGAGACCATCCAGGCGCAGCTGGTCCTTTTGGGGATGATAGTAGACTCCTGATCATAAAGACGAATTGCCTTGAACAACGAGATCAATTTTCCAGATAGCACCCCGCATTGCTGTAATGGCTTAGCTGATGAATAGCCGTAGGAGACTGCATGGTGCGAAGTGCACGCTCAAGCGCCATGATCTAGATGCAATCACATGTTTAGTAGTTTGGCTGATATAAAATACATGTCACATTTAGTGTTTGTTCAGCCGCCTGGTTGTGGGGGGGATTCCTAAAGTGGAATGGTTTCCCTAATCCAGCTGGTAAGGGAAACCCAAGTCAATCTAGAGATCACTTCTTGACTGACCACTTCTAACTCATGTCCATCTCTTCATCAGTCAGGATGGATTTCAAGCGGACCCTTATTACTGCTTTGGCACATTTCAATCCTTCTGATGTTATTCAATCACCGGTAAGAATCCTCAAATGATTGCTAGCTCAGAGCTAATAGAGAGTTAGGAACTTTACCATGGCTTTAGTTGCTTCTTCTCTTGAGAAAGTGGTTTGAATCTTCTGCAATTTCTGTGCTCTTCACATCAAATATTTCCTTCCCAGAGCACTCGAGCTATCTCCCAACTCATAGCGCGGCCTGCCAATTCTCAACTTGCTTCTGCTCCTCCAGCTTCTCCTCCAGCATCTCCTCCAGCTGCTCGTTGTTCTCCAGCTCCGTTGCTTCGTCAACCCAAAAGAAAGAGAAGCGCAAAAAAGGTGCAGCAAAAGAGGCTCCTGCACTATGAAGCAGGCTTCAGCGAGCTACAGAATAGTGTGATGAAAACAGCTGAGACCTACTTCAAAGATAGAACGACCTGCTGTGATTTGGTTGACATTTCAGTGCATCTGATCAACAGTCAACCTCTCGAAGAAACTGTTTACAAGAGCTTGTGGAAACAAAGTGTTGATATATTCTCAAAGACTGATTCCAAAGCATCTTGAGTACGCCGTCTTGAGGCAGGTCGAGCAGTACTGCAAAGAGAATGCTTTGCAAATGTCTATACTGATTGATTGGGCATGCTACTTTTCTGTATTGAGCTTGATGAAATGATTCTTTCAGTTCCAGATAATGAATGCCGGCAGGGCGTCGGCAAAGCGACAATAGCCTATGGAAAGTATGCAAAGGAAGCTGATGTGGATGTTGAGTATGTATCACAAACCAGATCTCTGAGCCGCAACTATGCTCGTCTTGTGATCATATGTGGTCCTGGAATTTTGGCATGTTTGAATGAACAACGTTCAAGAATGTGAGTGAGCCTCATGATCCATCATTACTATCTCTACTAATGTTTCTCTAGGTGGGAGAGGGGCTCTGTAGATGTTGACCTACTGCTTAAGTTCGTGAAAGATAAATACCCTGAACGGGAGAAGATCTTTCGCTGCCATGACCGACTATGCGCAAAGGCTATCCTCGGTGGGCTTAGAGCTTATGGATGGGAGGACGATGAGATTTTTCAGAGCAAGGGAGAAGTGTTGACGGCCGTGAGGAAATATTTCGGAGAGCCCGTGCAGGGAGCGACAAACAAAGAGCCCAGCAGCAAACGGCTATATCGCGGCTTGCAGGCACAGGATTTTGAACAACATGTGCCTAGAGCTTATCCATTAGGAGGTATGTTTTTTAGTACAGGACTGTCTGGAAAAGTTATCTAACGGTCTCCTTAGACCTCAGTCATCGTATAAACTCGCACAGTGACGCTCCAATGCGAGCTCTCGCTGCTGCTGCGACCCAACGCGAAAGCACATACCAGTTGCATCCAACGGATTCGGTGCGCGCGGCGCCATTAAACATCATCCCCAGTGATGTTGGTAACACCCAAAGCAGGTTGAACCCTGGGGACTGTCAAGCTTATCAATCGCCGACTGTCCACACTCTTCCCAACACCAATGTTGAAACCCGCTTTGCCTTTTCTTCACCTAGGCAACCTTCAATTCCCTATTCTGTCAGTATCAATCTGGACTCCTGGTCTGCCTTTTCTCCATCCAGACAACATTCAATTCACCCCTCGGCGAATCTCCTTCCTTCTGCCAATCTTGACTCCTGGTCTGCATTTCTTTCACTCAGACAATCTTCAACCGTTCCACCAGATGCTGACCAACCTCCGATTGACCCCACGACGGCCGTTTATTCTACAGACATCGACCTTGACTCCTGGACTTCTTTTCTTACACCTGGACAATCTTCCGGGGGATGTTAGCCAACCTTCCATTAATCCCGCGAGGAACTTTGGCTCTATTCGTATCGATCTTGGTTACTGGTCTGTAGCCTGCACCAGCATCTCAACCCCGCCCACCATGGATCTACTTCTACTCCTCCGAACAGGTCAGAAAGCTCTAAACCCGAGTACTATTATGAACGCCTCCTTGTGGAATACATATAAGGCCTTAAATCGTAGATTCACTTTGTCATTCTAGAGTTCCACTTAGGGGTTATTTATCATTTGTTGAATTTCGCGGAAAATGGACAATTATCGCCCCAACCTGTTTTCCATCATCAATGTTGAAATCTGTATGTTTTAATGCGAACAATGGCTTCTCCCAACTCCAATCTATTTTAATGTTATTTCCCTCCTTGTCTCCGACATAGACTTGTGCATTCTCGATAGCGACTAAAGGGACTATCACAGTGTCATGTTGTCCGCCAGCTGAAAATTTTCGTCTCAACACAGCAAGATGTGAAGACAGTGCGGAAACTCCAAGTAGTGACATTCTCTACACCAGATGTTAGATCATTCTATTTTGACATTGGGCATTAATCAACTAACTTTCTGGTAAAGCTTCTGCGCTTCCCTGACAATTGGTAGGCAGTCATTTGGAAGAGTGTATCGCGAAGCATCATGTGACGGGTCCGACTGGTGCACTGTGTTGTAGATGCTGTCAACTGCTCGGCTTGCAGAAGGGTGAAATTCTTTCGGCAGTTGTAAATATTCAATAGGATTGACAGTGGCTTGCATTTTATTTTACCAGGGCTATTGGAAATTGTTGGTGTTGTATTACGCAAGACCGAATCCTGAAATTCGCTCCGTAGTGTAATGTAGAAAGACAGAAATTGAGTTCCAGCGGAATTAATTTATGAAGATTCAATTTTTTTCTGTCAGGTTAACGGGGTGAAGATATATTCCTTAATGAGACGCAGCCTGCGGGGCATGGTGGGGTCGTGTGATTTCCGAATTGTTGTTCGGTCCTACATTTTGCCGGCAGAATCTTAATCTCACCCGAGCCCGTTCCGAGAATATACTCTATATGGATAGATGTTTAATGTTTCCCACACGCCATTTCGGATAACGTTGGTTGGGCAGCTCCTGTTCATTCGCGTGGACATAATTTTCAGCCGGAAAAACTTCCGCCAGTTCGCCCCCAGCCATCGTCTAACGTAAAGAACAAATAGCTAGACTGTACCCTTTTCCGTTTGTAAAATTTATAGTAGCATGTATTGATATAGTCAACCGGTTACGCCGGCTTGTCTTTCCTGACGGAGACGGAGGACGGTGGAAGCAACTGAATTCTTCCCTGTCACAGAATATGATTGGAGAACTCCAAATGGCACAAAAAGATCCTAACATCATCTAGCCAAACATTTTCTTTCCGCTAGACCGTCATATATTAATTGATAGAGTTCCTGGTTCACCACTCCAAATATTTAATCAATTATTGCGACAGGGTTTCTGTTAAGACACGAATTTCCAGTCGATTTGCGAAATGTGACTTGAAGCGGCATCAAAATCGTGAAGGATTTGATTGAGATATCTTCGAAGTACACAAGCCCCGCCACTGAACATTTTGAAATTTTGCTTGGCTTTCCTACCCCGCCCCAAGCAGCAAGCGCTTGTGTATTAACACGATCCGAAGAAATAGGAATAACCGTCATTTGTTCTCAAATAAAAGCGTGTAGGAAGGAAACTACGCGGAGAATGAAATAGGAAAAAGGGGTCAATATTCTTGTTGGGTAAAGACACATGTTAACAATCTCCTGGAAAATTGGAAGCGCGATGAAAATTTTTGCCCCTCAGCATATTTGCGCATGACATCCTGGGTCAATTCCAGGCGGTCCCGCCCACAGTGCTCCAATATAATTAGCATCCGAGTGTAAAACCAGTAGACAGAAGTTGAGAAGGGTCAGGAAAGACCTAACAAGGCAGAGATACAGAACAGATAGGAAGACTATGAATAGAGGAAGCTCTAGTGTGGAAAGAAAGCAATTCATGCAAGAATAACTTGTGTCACAGCAGGATGCTTCTTGCAAGAAGAGCTGAATTTCCAAGGAGAAGAGCAGAAACTGCTGTATGTATAGTAGTGCGCTGCATAGCTGCCTGAGGGCGGCTGGGACAGTCTATGAATAAATCAATCAATCAATCAATCAATCAATCAACAAACAAAACGAACTGGATGACGGGGCGACACTGGATGACGGGCGACACTGGATGACGGGTTTCCTGACCCTCCTCAACTTCTGTCTACTGGTTTTACACTCGGATGCTAATTATATTGGAGCACTGTGGGCGGGACCGCCTGGAATTGACCCAGGAGTCCTGTCCTGATTATCATCTTTGCTGCTTGTACCGCCATTGACGAGCTACACAGAATGCGTTTGATGTCCACGCATGGAGACTTGCCTGCCCACATTCGATGTCGTTCTTCTGCCCAGTTCCGGCATTCCAGAAGGATGTGTCTTACGGTCTGCGGTCCGTACCCGCACTGGCATTTGTCTGTGTCGGCCTTATTAATGGCGTGGAGGTAAGCATGGAGGCTGATCTTGCCTGTTCGCATCTGCGTGATCGCTCTGTGTGTTCCCATGTGTGTGTCGAGAATCACTTTTCCGGGTCGAGCCCCGAGTCGGAAGAGATCTCTGCCATGTTTTGCCTGTTCCCATTCGCCCTTCATCGCCTGACGGATGGTGGATTTTGTGGTTGCCAGCAGCGTCCATATCTGACCCGGTTCAGGTTGTTCAGTGTTTAAGGCAGGGTTAGCGGCCCGCTTTGCCAGTCTGTCTGCTTCTTCGTTTCCCGGCACTCCGAGGTGTGCTGGAATCCAGTGAAACTGCACCTCCCATCCGAGGGCCCGGAGCCGGTCGAGCGCTCGTATGGCCTCAGCAAGGATATACTGGCCGGATGGGTGCTTTGGGTTTCGTATCGCTTGGACGGCAGCTTGGTTGTCAGTGAAGATGGCGCATTTGCCGGGAGCGGTGCCAGCCGCATGGGCGTCGAGCACAATCTGCAGCGCCAGCATCAGGCCCCTGAGCTCCGCGGCGTACATTGCACATAGATAAAGATCATGAATAGAGAAAAGTTTGAAATTCAAAAATCTAAAAAACAAGTGTGAGCCTTCTTAAGTTTAAGGAGGTTTTCAGGAACTAAAGAACTGTGACATTTGATATTAAAGTGTAGTCTTTCTCAAGCTTAGAGAGCACTCAAAGAATTAAAACAATTATCTCACAGACTTTAAAGAAGAAATGTCTTGAGAATATTAAATAATCATTGAAGAACTGTAGATTTATATAAAAATTTAATTGATGTTCATGAAAGATACAGATATTGATATTTATAGTAATACTTTTTAGAAGTCTTTTTACATTGTAATTTATAACAAACAAATTTTCATCTATTCACTCTTATTCTCAAGTTTTTCTTATATAATCTTCTTCTTTTCTCTGAGCTTCAGATATTTTATGTAGTTCTCACATGTTATTTAAGCTGAAGAAGAATAATGCTTCTTCTATTACTATCAGAGTATATCTTTTCAGAGCTGTACTGAATATGACACTTACTATATCTTTATTCAATGATGAAAAGTGACTGCTTGAAGTATCAGACTTGTTAAAATTAATTGTAAAGTACTGATTATCTTTATAAATGAGAAGATAGATATCTTTGTAGTGACAGTTATTAAAGTAGTTATACAGTATATATTGAAGTGTATCTTTTCATTGATAATGCATCTGCATAAGACTACTGTGCATAGTTCATAACTTCTTAATATACTTTAATAATTACATAATATAGAATTTAATTTCAATGAAGATAGAGAATCTGAGATAAGAGTTATCTCTTAACATTATAAAAAGAGATCTTAATTTATAGCTATAAGTGAGTATTGTCTAGAAATATAATAATCTGTCTTTATTAAGTTAAGAGTTACTTTTGAAAAGTATACTTCTATCAAATATTATTTCAGATAATCAGTTATTTTACTATAATACTTATATACTTTAATTATAATATTATGATTTAAAATTATGACTTATATTATGACTTGCAATGTCTCAAGACCTTCTTGAAAAATGACTTATAATAAAATGTGACTTGCAATAAAATAGCAGTGTGATAGAAATATCTTGAGATAAAAACTGTCTTGTAAAAGTAATTATCAGTTCTTAAAATATATATTTTTTTGAAACTAAGAATTTAAATGACTGATAAAGAGATAAAGATAATTGTATTATAATTTACATCTTAAAAAGTTAATATTGTAGTGAGACTTGCATTGTCTTAGATATTAATGTATTGTATATAATACAATAAAAAGAAATGAAAAAAATAATTAAAATAATTAAAACTATTTTTGAATCAAATCTGCTATCTTTGATTCTGTTTATTATAAGAGATAATCTTTTTTTTTAAATAATTTCTTTTTCATTGAAATTTGTAATGAAAATTGCAATTTTCAACTAATATAGATTTAAGATTGAGTTAAACTCAAAGTTTTCTCTTCATGAATTTTAATGAGAAATATATACACTATGAAATTAAAAGCTAACTTTTGTAGAGTAATATTTAAAAGTTAATTTTTTCAGAATCTCTATTATCTCATATTTTCTATTTTTAGATTTAAGCTTCTGAAAGTGTCTATAATATTAAGTACTATTATTCACTTCAAGAACACTGTTCAAGAAACTTCATCTTACTTATTATTTTTCATTACTAAATAAATATCACATCTCTGATTATGTCAAGGTCTCACTGCGGTTTCACACGGCTCATCACTTTCATGCAGATAATTTCATTCATCTCACAGACTGTCTGAACTGGTTTCTAATCACTCTATAACATTATTCAGATATATCATAGAAAGATTCAATTAATAAATATAAGAACTCTACTTTTATACAAGATCAGCAGATTACTCTTTCTTAGTAATAAAACACTGCTGAGATATCACTCTGACTATTCTCACTTATGAAATAAGAGAAGAATATTCACTTATTATCTATATAGAATAGCTAGATACTGACTTCTTATTAAAGAAGTTAGTAATTTATTTTTTCTTCTACTGAAATATATATAAGAGTTACTGTATATCTTATACAATCTTCTTAGTATACTAAGTATTATATCTATGATATTCTTGCAATAACTCTGTAGTCTACAAGCTCACTATTTAAGTAAGATAGTCAAGCTTACTTATACAACTTCTTAAATAACTACTTCTATATAATATTACTAACTAGTCACTGCTTCAGTTCTATTATATTACAATTTAAATCACTTAATCTGATTATAAGTTTAAATCAGTCAAGCTCTAACAGACTGATATAGTCTTATATACTTACACTGAAATTAATCTGATCTCACTCTCTGAGAAAAACACTACATTATTCTCTAGAGTGTGTATATCTCTATCTTAGCAGAAATCTGAGATTTCTGAACTCACTGTACATTTTAATATAAGCTCTTTAATTACTCTGTTACTATCACAGCCTCTACACATCTATATCTATTATAAAGATAGAGAGATTAAAGTCAGAGATTCTCTAAGATATAAGAGAAATATATTATCTGAATTTCACAGCTTTATCTATACTCTTGAACAGAAATTTCATCTTAATCTGAGCCAGTATAATACTTATAAGATATAAGTAATATACACTGTCAATCTTCTTAAAGATATCTCTGTGACTACTTAGACTATTAAGAAGAGAGAGCTTGAGTGTATTGATACTATTATAACTTGAAAAGAGTTTAAGAACTTTCTACTGAATTAAATCAAAGATTACTGTAACTGCAGCTTCATAATAATACAGTAATTTAACTTATTATATTAATAAGATAATAAGAATTCTTCTGATTTTAATATAAGATTTAAAGAATATTGAGAGAAATTAACTAATGATTTAAATCAATTAAAAACACAGCTTTATCTTATAAAGCTGACTTATAAGATGTGAATAATAATATTATAATATCAGAGTTTATCAATCAAT